CATGGTAAATAATTAATCAACGCCGTTCAATCACAATCTTAGATATAAGATCGCTTTATCCATAAGCACGTGTTCAGGGTACTTGTGAATGCGAATCTTTTCGCAAAAATATACTTCACTTGAAAATTAGCAGCATGTTGACAATGAACTTCAATAATAATAACGGTGAGTATTCTAAATTACGGGTCGATTTTCTTTCTCTCTTACTTACCCAGTGATTAGGAAATTATTTTTTTTCGTGAATGTTACATTTACCATTGTTGCAGCTAACAAGAAACTTCACGAATAAACCTCGCAAATGTCGAAATACAAATACATTGAACATGTTTTTTTTTTGCGCTATAAAATTGTTCCTGTGTTTGAAAATTACCTTGAAATTGAGACTGGTGTAATATAATAGGAATAACCATACGTCCCATGAGGACCCAACTATACCAAGAATTTTGTCCAGTTCACTCCCTTATACACACTTGCTATTGCTCGTGTGTAAATATATTATGAATTTATTACGGGGATACCGAAAAGTATGCACGAAGGCAGTACAGCGGAAGTATCGACCGACGCGCAGCGGAGGCCGATGAGACGGCAAACTGCCTCGTCGGAGACTCTGCCCAGGACTGACCAAAAAGACTCTCTCGCCTCGTGGAGCTCTCTCTGGGACCAAGGACTTAGTCTGTTTATTACCTATCAAAACTTAACCAATTACAAAGCAGTTTAAAGAATAAGGCGTGGCCTTCACACATTCAACTTGCACATAGCCAGTCACACTAAGTACTGGATACGTCATATCTTTTGATTAATTGTTCACTATATTACTAACAGCGAATACCAACTGTCAGAAATAGCGGTCCGGATAGCAACGGTTATATATATCTCAATTAGTTCCAAATCACTGAACCAAGTTCCGTCCAGGACCTCGCATGAGCCTAAATGATGACAGATATAACACAGCCATTCACTAGTAATCAACTAAATAAGTCGGACAACAGATACGCGGAAACGAATTCATGACATATACTTGATTGTCAACATTATATACAATTTATATTTTATTTATATTGAAATAAACAAACATTTCTGTTTCCTACTCTAATCCCAATCATGCAAATGCAATGAAATGACACGAAATGATTTGAATAAATCATTCTGGAAATCAGAATCGAATAAACGGATTTAATTGAAATACGTATTCAACAAATTCGGTATAATGACTTACGTTTGTTGTGTGATAATTAGTCTTTGTCATATACACTAATAATTGTTGAAATCTTTAAAGGCCTCTCTCCTGATCGTATAGCGATTTTATGGTTACCCGGGGCTATGTTTGTGAACGCACTGTAAACAGAGTAATTATCAGTGTTATACCCAACGTTAAGCCGGTCCACGAGAATTTTCGTTGATTTTACCAATTAACAGTTTACTTTTCAGGTTCTTGTAAGGTTCGATGCTGACACTAAAGACTATTGTTTGGTTAGGTTTTCTCGCCACCCAATAGCGTTTTTTATCAACCCTTCCCTGGTGGGCCATCCTGTCTGGACACGTAAACAGTCTCCATCCAATATCGCGTTCCATTGCCTCAAGTGGCGTTTTGGTCCCAGAGCCAGATAACATAGTTGTCCAACACTGTGGTTGATTGATGTGAACAGTAGAGTTGTATAGCGACTCGGGGAGTTCATTCGCGAGCGGATAAGACGTTTTCACCATCGTATCTTGCTTACCGTTGAATTCTTTGAGAGTGTATACAAAGGCATTCTTAATCATATAAAACAGATATATCGCAATCATATTGTGAGATTTTGTGCTTGGATGGTTGTGATCACGAGGACTGAAAAGACTCTTTGTATTGCAGCGCTGATCATATCATCTACTAGTCGAGCAAACTAATAGACGGTACATCGTAGTATTTACTTAGCATTTTGCTGCAATTGCCGCTAGCTGAAGTCCCTACTGGCGACTCTGCCGTTTGACTCATTATAAAATTCACATATATGAGCTGCGGTCCTGAAGGCAAGCTCAAAATCCTCCTTGTCAATTCTTCCTGGTGAACACATCCATTGTCGTCGACAAGGTCATTTTCCGCGCATTCCCAGAGTAGAATATCCAGTTGTTGCAATTTCAAATGCGACTCCATGCAGTAGAAGTGATACAGACTGCCCGTGGCTCCGAACGCGTCATTCTGCACAGAGCTGCCAATCCCAATACCAGCTAGGAGATCACTTAGTAAATTTGCATAAAGGTTTTCAGATCCCACGCCAGTGGCTGTTGAAATTGA